ACGCTCCCTGAATTACAGTTGCAGCGAGTCCGGACTTGAACAGCAGGGTGTTCTGTTTAGTCCTGCAATGGAAGTAGCATCAACCTTGTTTTGTTTCAATCGTTTGATTCTTTTCTCCACACGGGTTCAAGATCTGGAAGGTTCTATTTTTAACTTCTAGAAACAATAGGATTGTGTAACATGGTATATAAAAACTTTTACAAAGCGTTTTAGTTTTATGGTCCAGCTGTGAGACCGTGACGTTAATATACCACAGGTGTTTGCTGACATCCATGAGAGGTTTCAGTGGAACAAAAACCCAACAGACTCACCAACCGGAGCAGTGGAAAAAACAGGTCAGTCATCAGTCATCGTCATCAGGAGTAAAATAACTGTTGCAAGTTTTTATCATTAAAAACACAAACATTGGCCTAACAAATAGGAATCAACTGGACCACAGTGACCTCCACTCCCCCCACCCCCCCGCAGGCCAAAAGTGTGTGTGTCCACACATGTGTTGGCATACGTGTGTGTGTTTGTGTGTTTAACGTGAACCCACTCCCATTCCTGTAATTAGTGAGTGCATTTAATGACAGACAGGCTCCCTAACAGCTGGCAGCCAGTCACAGTCTGACCTGCTGCTCCTCTGTCTCAGGTGGTTCTCTGTTAGCAGCTGCTTCGTGAGGCCGTTCTTTTTTTCTTCTCTGAGGTTGTCTGCAGAGTGTGAGCGCGGCTGCAGCCTTGCAGGCCGGTGGTGGATGCTGTATTCAAGCGAGTGAATCTTTTTGAAAGGTCCCAGAAACCTGTGTATACAGCCCCAGAGAAGCAGTAAGAAAGAATTCCTGCCGTAGACTCCAGCATGAGTGAGATAAGTGATTATACTGTAGACGACCTGTTTACTGTATCTAATGTAGTAGGAGTATCAAACTGGGAGTTATTGAGGTCACAAAGGAGACAAGAAATTGTTCAGTCTAACTTATGCCCCACTAAATTACAGTTTTCCATTTGTGAGGACCATTATTCAATAGTGATCAGGATTTCATTATCCTCTAGACAACAACAAAACATTGCCAAACATCCCACAAATAATGGTCACTACTTCAGCAGCTCAGTGTTCAAGTAAACCTAAATACATGGGGTCCACTGTGGTAAGATGCATTTAGGACGTACTGTAAAAACATCAGAATAATGTGACTCACACCTGGGAGCCAAAATGAAGGACAAAAAGTTCCCAAAAAAACAAAAACAAAATTGAAAGACAGTGAATGCAGCACAATATATGGAGTTAAACGCTGATTGTAAACAAAGCTGTATTAAGTGTATAGTGCTGCACGATGACGTAGTTGTCCGCCTCACATCAGCTGTGGAACGATGGAAGAAGACTTTCTTATTACATTAGTGGGAGGTTGCAAAGTAACCACGAAAAGCTCGACTGTTATGAACAGGAAGCCTCCTGTATGTTTGGTCAATGATGTTGTGGTCCAGACTCAGGTGTGTCTTTGTTGAGGAGGAGCTTCCAGGATGTCACTCAGTGTACTTGGTGAAATGCAGCCTTAAATCATTCCAGAACCTCATCACTCATTTGGTAACTTTAAGTTCTACTGCCACTCTTTTTACTTTCTGCAACCAACTTCTTCAAGTCTTCAAACTGCCCGCTGCCTGAACACCATTCTAAAGGGTTCTTATTTTTTGGCAAAGAACCCTCCGGAAACACTTTGTCTGTACACAGTAAGTGTACTTGATTGTCTGACTCACTGGATATAATTTAGTAGTTTATTATTTTAAATGGGTCATTTAACCATGTTTCTACAGCTACTAAGTATCATTATGCCTAAAATAGCAATATTGCATTTTGGTTCCCCCTTTTTGACAAAGAACTTATGACAATAATTGTAACCCTAACAAGTCAAACAAATAAAAATAAAGTTTTCAAATATATTCATGGCGGGGTGTATGGAGGAAAAACTGGGAAAGACTATGTGGATGAATGTTTGTTGGTTAAACACTTCAATCTGAGTATGATTGTTTGGCTCTGGAAGTGGGCTGCACTGTAACTATTACATTACATGTGAGTGGTAGCACACGCTGGCCCTGGAACCAGACCTTTATTGCCTTGTGCGGGTCTGTTTTGTGTTTCAGTGTGCATCTGTGAATGTGTTTGTGCGTGTGTGCTGCTTCTATGCACCATAGAAAATCATTGGTACTACCTCAAGGGGACATGAGAGCTGTACTTCCAAGTTCTATATCTCAGAGTGTGTGTTATTGATGCTCATGCTCAGCACAGGGACACACACAGAGCAGTCAGTACCGATTATTTTGATTTTCTCAAAGCAACACAGTCAGAGCTTTCAGACATGTTTGTCAGAATTTGACAAACGTCGTTTTAATTTGGAGTGAAGCAGGTGCAGATTTTTGTTTTTCAGTCAGCCCTGCAAGTTTGAGTGGCTCAAATCTGTCCTGGTTCTCAAATACTGAGTATTGTTGGGTAGTATTTGTGGACAAACAGAGTTGGCGTGCGTAATGGATGTCAATCAAACTGCTAATGTTTTGGTCAGTGCACTGTATTTTTGCCAACCTACAGTGCTGTATGTGCCAGATCTTGGCACATTCACATTCAAATCACATTCTGTCCAGGATACGTTCCGATCACTTCAGAGAGAAGATCTGAATAAACTAAAGGCAGCTCCTTAGCACAATCAGCAACAACACATTATTTTACATTAGAAAAATCCAATAGTGCAATAGTGCTCAAAAAATTGTCACAAAAATATATGCAATGAAATTTAGTCTCCTAGTTACAATTTA